CATAAAAATGAGAAAATCAAAATCATTGTTAAAGGAGCTGAAAAATTCTTGGGGATGAGGAATATGTCGTTGGATCAAGTTATACAAAAACTTGAGGCAGATGGCAATAAACCAAAGTAAGAGTATTATAAAAATTGATATGAGTAAAATAGAAGTTAAAAGTTTTTAAAAGAAAGATCCGAGAAGATTGGCAAAAACAGTGGGAAGAAGATTTAAAGGAAGATTACTTTTTCGTTATTTATTGGCTACAGGTTTAGTGAAAAGAATTTAGGTTTTTTCCCCTTTTTTTTTTTTTTTTTTGAGCATGTCTGTCTTGATCCACACTCATTACTGGTTGGTGGCGGTAATGCACCTCTTAATTGTTTGCCAACCGCCATAAAACAAGAAGAAGAAGAAGAAGAAGAATCACACTGGGATTTTAACTCACGGAGGGTTTGTGTGTGTTCAGGAATCTGAGCGTCCTGTTTCTCAGTCCAACGACAGAGGTGATCTGCTGGGATTTGTGTATGGCCGCAGTGTTCTGTCATGATGGGTTTCTAAGAGAGTAAGCCCAAGATGCAGAACACACACGGAGACACTGGGTAAAAAGTCCAAAAGAGTTTATTGTGGCACAAACATGAATCATGAAAAGGGAACAGTTCAGGCAGGGGGCTGGTTCACTGGGGTTTGTGCAGGGAAAGGGAGATGGATGGTAGCTGAGTTCAAGTGAGGCTAAGCATCAAGCTAGGCTTAGCCTGGCAGTCCTGAGTTTGAGCTTCCAGCTCACTGCAGGGAACAACAGGGGAAAACACGAAGGATTTCTCAGGCTGAGCTTCCAGCTCACCGCAGGGAACTACAGGGGAAAATCCACATGGGAACCTCTAGGGAAACTCCTCAGAGAAGTCGTCAGGTTTCTACCACGTAGGAATCTTCGGGTTGGCTCACCAGGGCAGATTAGCAGGTTAGGCTTTCCAAGAGCTTCAGGCTTGAGACTGGTTTCCTGTGGTGCAGCTCCTCCAGAGCTGCAGACCAGAGACTGATTTCCAGTGAGGGTGCTCTTCCTGAGCTTCACGAGGAGACAGGAGGTTGAGCTCATCCAGAGCTTCACGAGGAGACAGGAGGTTAAGCTCATCCAGAGCTTCACGAGGAGACAGGATTCCTGTGAGGCACAGATAGGAGAGATTAGAATCTGATCTCAACCTAGGAACAACCAAGACTCAGTCTATAGCAGAAGGTTCAGGAAGCTAACCAACTAAGATCAACACTGCGGCGTGGAATCAAGGTCTGAAGGCAGCTTAAATACTTTGGTCCTCCTGATGAGTAGATCAGCCACAGGTGTGTGGGAGGCTCAGCTCAGGAGGACCCACGGCGCACTCTGCTGGAGGCAGAGGGTAATCTCCAGAACCTAACAAAAGACAAAGAGAGCAGAAGAGGATCCTCAGCGCCCTCTGGTGGCCAAGCCTGAGGATCCCAACACATACCAATCACTAAAAGGTTAACAGCTTGAGTTAAAGTGAATGCCTGTATCCAGGAAAGCTTTTGGTTACATAGAAACCAAATGATATGTAAAATACAAAACAGAATGAAGACAGCAGTCATAAGCACCCAACAATACAACAAAGATTTGAATAAAGGATTGGATGCAATTAGTGTTGCACATATACCAGTATCGGGCGGGGCCCAGATCCAGCACTAAAATGGTGGTATCGGTGAGTACCAACAAATAGGGCACAATACCATTTTGAGAGTCAAAAGTTTATTCAGCTTTTGTCACCGATTCCAGGTAGGCAATAAAAAGTTCTACTGGATTCACTTTGTATTAGTCATTTTCCTGCTTCACAAAGGTAGGCAGCAGATTGACAAAGAGATGATGGTAATTATTCTACATCCAAGTAGTATGCAGTTCTTCATATATATACACACACACACATCAGTTTCAAACACATGGTATCAGTATAGTATCGGTATCAGCAGATACTGCACAGCCAGGTATCGGGTATCGATATCGGGGTCAAAAAAAATGGCATCGGCACAACATTAGAGGCAATGATCAAAATCTAACAAGAAATCTTAGGAGGAATTGTATTCAATATGAAAAACATAGAGATGAGATAAAATAATCTAGAGATAATCTGGAATAAACAACACAAGTTAATTGGAATATTAAGAGAAAAGTATATATAAAGTATATTTCTAAGTTTTAGCAGAGTGGACAACTGTAGGGTGACCATATTTACATTTCGGAAAACCAGGACTCCTTGGAGGGGGTGGGGGGGGGGGGGGTGGGGGTGGGGGTTCTGTTCCCATGCATAGCGATGTCTGTGGCATGCACTCACTAAACATAGGCCTACGTAATCCTACAATCAGCAATAACTCCAATAACAAACGATAATTTCATTCTAAATGTATTAAAAATAGATAATAAATAATAATAATAAATAATAATAAAAATGCTTAACAATTCCTGTAATGAATGAATAGCACAATAAAAGAAATAATGTATCATCTAAACATCCCTCACTTAACAATAAAAGTTAACAATAACTCTCAACTCCCAATAACAGATGATACTCAGCCTCAGTAATGAACGAAATAATGTCTGTTCTGTAGGCTATTGGAAAAACCTCTTGTGTAGCAAAAATTATTCAAAATGTACCAAAAACGAACAAACAAATCAATAGACTATCTTTACTTTCGGTGTCCAGGTGGCTTTTCAGATCCCTTTCACCTCCATTGGACACCGAGACATATGTGCCTGCTTTGCACACTGTGCACAAGGCCTCCCGTTTGTCTCGCCCGGTCTGAAAGCGGGGAAACTCTTTTGTAAATCGTCGGTAAACATACATTTGCACTTTTGCTTGTTGTTGGCGTACTGACAGCCACGCTATCTATATTCTGATTAAGACCTTTTTTTTTGGAAAATGCGGGTGAAGATTCTCAGTAATCCAGGTCATAGTCATTCCAAAAGAAAAAAAAACAATCCACTGGACTTTTTTTTCCAAGTTTGAAGACGTTTCGCTGTCTTCGCTCAGAAAAGATGCAAATTGAACTAGAAGAACGGGTCTGCCCCTTTTGAATGGGCAGTCGTTTGGGTTCTTTGTTACCCTATAATAGCTGATACTGGTCTATGCCTCTGACAAGGGGTCGTTAGGGGGAATTGTTGGCCTGGCTGAACAGGTGAGATCTTCTGTTCCCCTGTAAGCGGGTGGGGGTTGCAATGTTAGAGGGAAGGAATCAACTTTATTGCTGCATTGTTGGTTTTTTAAAGCTGAAATCTGAGTCCACCCCCTCTGTTTAAGGTTGTTTTTTCTTTCTGAAGATAGATGGCTTCCTTCACACCCCTCTAAATTCACCTGTCGTCTTTGCAATAGTTTTTTTTGTTGCTTTTTTTGGAAAGTTTTTGGAAAATAATTTTAAAACTAAACCGCTCTGTGTTTAGTTTTAATGCCAGAGGTGGGGAGCCTAACATGGCAGCCCCTCATACAGAGCACATTTTCCTATGTCTGGGTTACTTAATGAAGACGTCGGTTGGAGGTCTAAGAAATGTCAAAAGTTCATGGAGTTCAGCTTCCTTAGAACAACGAGGTACTGATAAGTAAAAGGCAGTAATTTAAATGGAGGAAAAATCTTTAGTAGATAATGAATTGGTCTAAATGTATTCGAGTTAGGTTCTACAGCTGTACTTGTCTATATGTAAATAAAAATCCAGGATGAAACTGAGATATGTTATTGCAGAGACATGTTTAAATATTTGACCATTGATACTTAGAATGAAATCATTAGTGCTAATCAAAGATTGAAGGTAGACCGAAAACAAATGGACACTTCTTTGTTTCTCCAAATCCTTCATCCGTTTAAAGCAGTGTCATCCATCAGTAACCCAGCAACAGGAAGCAAATAGTGCTTCTGGTAACTAGAATAGATTTTTCTTAACGATCATCTCCCACCGCTTATGACTAAGTGTTGTCCAAAATGTACACAACGTGATTGAAACCAGTTCTTTCTGGTATTTTAAAGGGGTGATAGAATGATTCTATAGGGTATCTGGTGCTGGTCCTTAAGGTCTCTGACAGGGGGGGGGATTTACCATTGGGCAATACTAGGCAGCTGCCTAAGGCCCCAAGTTCCTGGGGGCCCCATAAAACTCTGTTTCCATCTATGGTTAATACAACTATTCCTTATTTCTGCACATTAATTATGTTTTTGATAAAAATCCTTTTGCTAAAATGCATCAGAACGCTGATAATACTAAGTGTGTCTCAGCCCCCCCCCCCTTCAGTGTCCACCATATTGGATCAGTCCATTTGCTGCACATGTTCAGAACGGTCGAAACAGACAGCAGCAAACCATTTGAAAACAAACGTTGCAAAGAGCAGTGTTGCCAACTTAGCGCTTTAGTCGCTATATTTAGCCACTTTTCAGACCCCTCTAGAGCTTTGATTTCTAAAAAGCTCCTAGCGCCAAATCTAGCGACTTCTTTCCAAATGAAAAATGGAGAACAGATAATCAGATCATGGCTTGTCTACAGTGAAAAGAAGGACTGGGTTATTTACTTTGGCCTTTTTGGAAACACAGGAAGGAGCAGTGAGCTTAGTGCTTGGAAAAAATCTTTCATTCCTTTAGAGACGGCATGAAAATTCAGCTGAGTACAAAACATAGAGAGGAAAACAAGAAGAAAAGGGACAAGAAGAGAGGGACACAACCTAGAACAAAGAATGGCAGTCTATTCTATTAACATTTCTATATCTGTAGAATGGGTCTGTTTTATGTCTTCCCCATTCAGAGGGCCCCCTGCCTGTCTTTGCCTAGGGCCCCACATTTCCTAAATCCGCCCCTGGTCTCTGAATAGGGTGCGTAACATGGTTGGGCGAAAAATGACATATTTGCTGTTCTATTAGCCCTAATGCAGGCCTGGCTAAAAGCCCTAGAATGAAACAACAGGTTCTCTTCCATTTATGGTATGATCATGAATATTTAGATGAAACTATGACCCCTTTAATAACTTGACTGTTTTTCCTCAGGTGATGCAGTCTCTTAGGTTCGCACTGCAGCCGCGGGTTGCTGACGTCTCTTTGTCGTGGGATTTACCAGAGGGAGTGTCCGCCACTCTTCTTTCTCCACCTATCAGAACCCTTCTACAGGGTCAGAGGTCACTGATTTATGCTCAGCTCACTGGAGAGGTAAGGAGCAGCACATACAAGCACAGGTTAGCCAGATATATTACCTGTCTATCAAAAGTGTTTTTGTCTGTTGCTCTGTCTCAGTGTTCTGAAGCCACAGATGGATGTCTGACCGTGAACTTTACTGCAGCTGGTCATCAATGCCAGAACCAGCTGCACTTCTCTCTCCGACCTGCAGAGGGCATTACGCATGAAGCAGGTTTTGATCAGAAAGGAGATAGACCACTGACTTGGTAGTGAAACCATTTCTTTTTTATGTTTGTCTATATTTGCTTCATTTAAAAATAAGGCCACCCACTCATTTAAAAATAAGGCCACCAGAATTGAGTTTTCGCTCTCAATTTCCACATTGTGGGACAATAAAGCAATTATGTGTTCTATTCTATAAGGGAAAATGTTTAAATATTTTATAATTGTGCATTTCTTTTGCTTCTGTGCAGCTTACCAATCCACAGGTTGGCTGCACGTACTCTAATCCGCTCCCTGGAGTGGGAGCACAGGCAGAATGGACAGGAAGCTGAAGTAAAGAAGATTTTGGAGCTTAGCATCCAGTCTTGCATCAGCAGTGTCTTCACTGCCTTCCTCGCTGTCAACAGATGCAATGGCAAAGCTGTTGAAGGTCCCCTGATCTACAGGGAGAATCCAACCTACAGTGGGTGCTTTGCTTGTGTCTCATTCTGAGTAACTCATTCTTCAGTTGTCTCATGTTTTCTGACAACAAAGTAATACTTTCTCTTTAACTATCTCCCCCTTTACTGTTTTCTCTCACAGTGCCGATACTTCGCGGAGGTTTGGAGTTTCTGATGTTTGATTATTTGTGCAGAGAGAGAAACGGTACATAATAAAACCCTTTTTTTCTTGCCTAAATATTCATCTTAAAAAAATCACCAAAACAACAAAATACCAAACCATGACCTTTGGTAGAGAATGGTAGAAATAATGTTCATTGTTTTAAGGTAAAACCTCAGTGAAACACTTGCAAATAATTTCTTCTCTCTTCAGTTTTTAGACGAATTTATTCGTCTTTGAGGAAAAGAGCATCTGCCAGTAAACTTGGTAAGCTACTAAACACTTGCAGGAAATCCTAGCATCTCTACCTTTACATGGGCGAATAGAAGCACTTTTGTAGTGTTGGCCTGCAGAGGGAGCTGTTGGATAAGTGTTTGATCCTAGCAATTTCAGTTTACAGGTTGCTTCACTGAATCATTGTTTGCTTAAAACAGATTTTCTTTTATTATAAAAAAGATTAAATTTTTTTGTTGTCTGTTTCCATCTTTAGGAAAATCTTTCAAAAAGAAACTAGTTTCAGGTAAGTTATGTCTTTTTTTGACTCAAGAAATAAAAATGAGACTACTGATGTAGTTTCATCCAATAACATAACAGCCGTTTTCCTGGTAAAGGCTTCAACAGCAGGAAAAATATGTTTTGGCAACACGATTCACACAACTTTAGACTTTCCTAAATGCCTTTTTTTCCTCTGTTTCACTGTTTGGGGTTAACACATTTTGTGGCTTTAATTAGTAGATTAATGCTAATAAATACAATACAGGCTAGTTGCTGCCTTTCAGAACCATAAGTTTATTAAAAGCCTTTCAAAGTAAAAGCAAAGTTCATTCAAAGTCTTTCTAAAATTAAAGCTTGTATACAGAAAAATAATTTACATTCCAGTGTTTAGTTCCTGGATCTTCATAATAGAATTATGTTTGTCTATTTATGTGTTTAATTATTTTTAGATATAATCTCTATCTATTTCAACTGATAAGGTTAAAAATGCAGAATGTCAAAATTACGAGCATTAAAGTAACCTCATAAGTACAAGTGTTATATATTCTAATAATCTGCTTTTAGTATTGTTTGTGCTTACCTTTGCTGTTGGACCACATAGATTTGCCAATGGAGGGTATGTGATTTCAAATTAACTAAACTTTGTGTTCTAACAGTGAATTACTGAATAGATACATAAAGAAAACAACCAATAACTTCAGTTTTTCTTCTACTGGACACCAGAGAAAAGAGTAGAAACAAAACAATCTTTCAAATGTCTATCTATTCTTTATTTGTTTAACTTTTGGCAAAGTGACAACAGGTAAGTGACACATAAAGTAATAAGTAAAATAAGAATAAAAAAAAAAAAATTGTATGATAAAACAGTTTTATTGGTCTTTAAGTGGGGAAAAGTAGGTAAAAGGCCCATATTAGTGTGCACTCACCTCGCAAAAAAATCTATCTTTTTCTTCAAATAAAATCTGGCAGCACATACGTGCTTAGCGCTATGTCTGAAGGATTCGAATAAAATGTCCGGGATAAACTTCGGGTTTTGATAGAGCAGGAGACCTCACAGTGCAGGTACAATACATACCTTCTAAATACGGGTTTATAAATAGAATGATCTAATTACTCTCATTATTTTATTCTTTTTCCTTTTCTTTTTAGCTAGCTTTAGCTAAGTTGTGTTTCTCTAACCAACTGGAACCCTTTTAAAGGGGTTCCCTGACCTTATTTGGTGTAGGTCACAGTTTGTAGCTCACCTGGTAATCTGTAAAAAGCCATAAAATACAGGTTTCATTTTCACTAAACAACCTTTAGAAATATGTTTCTGTGTTTGGTATTATTATATGTATATATGTATATATAGCTATTTTTAATTCGGTAAGTTGCAGGATATATATATATATGTATATGTGTATATATATACTTATGTATATATATATACTGATGTGTATATATATGTATATATATGTGTATATATGTGTATATATATATGTATATGTGTATATATATATATGTGTATATATATATATGTATATGTGTATATATATATATATATGTGTATATATATATATATATGTATATATACACATATACATATATATATACACATACACTCACCGGCCACTTTATTAGGTACCCCATGCTAGTAACGGGTTGAACCCCCTTTTGCCTTCAGAACTGCCTCAACTCTTTGTGGCATAGATTCAACAAGGTGCTGGAAGTATTCCTCAGGGAGTTTGGTCCATATTGACATGATGGCATCACACAGTTGCTGCAGATTTGTCAGCTGCACATCCATGATGCGAATCTCCCGTTTCACCACATCCCAAAGATGCTCTATTGGATTGAGATCTGGTGACTGTGGAGGCCATTTGAGTACAGTGAACTCATTGTCATGATCAAGAAACCAGTCTGAGATGATTCCAGCTTTATGACATGGCGCATTATCCTGCTGAAAGTAGCCATCAGAAGTTGGGTATATTGTGGTCATAAAGGGATGGACATGGTCAGCAACAATACTCAGGTAGGCTGTGGCGTTGCAACGATGCTCAATTGGTACCAAGGGGCCCAAAGAGTGCCAAGAAAATATTCCCCACACCATGACACCACCACCACCAGCCTGAACCGTTGATACAAGGCAGGATGGATCCATGCTTTCATGTTGTAGACGCCAAATTCTGACCCTACCATCAGAATGTCGCAGCAGAAATCGAGACTCATCAGACCAGGCAACGTTTTTCCAATCTTCTATTGTCCAATTTCGATGAGCTTGTGCAAATTGTAGCCTCAGTTTCCTGTTCTTAGCTGAAAGGAGTGGCACCCGGTGTGGTCTTCTGCTGCTGTAGCCCATCTGCCTCAAAGTTCGACGTACTGTGCGTTCAGAGATGCTTTTCTGCCCACCTTGGTTGTAACGGGTGGTTATTTGAGTCACTGTTGCCCTTCTATCAGCTTGAACCAGTCTGGCCATTCTCCTCTGACCTCTGGCATCAACAAGGCATTTCCGCCCACAGAACTGCCGCTCACTGGATGTTTTTTCTTTTTCGGACCATTCTCTGTAAACCCTAAAGATGGTTGTGCGTGAAAATCCCAGTAGATCAGCAGTTTCTGAAATACTCAGACCAGCCCTTCTGGCAGCAACAATCATGCCACGTTCAAAGTCACTCAAATCACCTTTCTTCCTCATACTGATGCTCGGTTTGAACTGCAGGAGATTGTCTTGACCATGTCTGCGTGCCTAAATGCACTGAGTTGCCGCCATGTGATTGGCTGCTAAGAAATTAAGTGTTAACGAGCAGTTGGACAGGTGTTCCTAATAAAGTGGCCGGTGAGTGTATATATATATATATATATATATATACACATATACATATATATATACACATATATACACATATATATACATATATATACACATATATATATATATATACACATATATACACATATATATACATATATATATGTGTATATATATGTATATATATATATATATATATATATATATATATATATATATATATATATATATATATATATATATATATATATATATATATATATATATATATATATATATATATATATATATATGTATGCAACTACATTACAGCCTCAGCTGGGTTAATCGGTAAATCTGTTATTCTGTTCCGTCCTTACTTTTACATTCATAGAGATATGTTTTAGGTTTTTAGTTTTTTTAAGGGCTTTGATTCTCTTTTCAACAATGTCTTGTTTTGGTAAAGGAGATTCTGAGACCAGAAAGCCAGCCAGAGATCCACTGCTGGAGCTCGTCTCACTGCAGAATGCTTCTGGCTGCTGGCTGCTTGATCCATGTCTGGCTGCGGCTCTGCAAAAAAACACGCAGGAGCTGGAAGAAACAAAGCCCAAATCGGTGGGTTGGCATCACATAAAAGAGGAGCTATATTTGAGCAGCTGGATAAGAAATGAAAATTTACTGTAGATGCAAGAGAAAAAGAACATCCAATGCACAGTTATTTAGGTGAACTCGCTTTCATCTTCCCAATATTTCTTTTTTGCTCTCTTCTGGGGACCTAGGTGAAAAAGGAAGTGTGGGCCACCATTTTGGCTTTAATCTGGCTTCACGGCTTCAAAGTGGAGGAAAAAGATGAATGGGATCTTCTTGCAGCGAAGGCTGCATCGTGGCTCAGAGCTAAGAAAGGTAACATGCATCGTCCCGGTAAGTGGACGCCACTTTTAAGGCTCCATTCAAAGATGTTTAACTCAATTATTTGTTTTCTTTCCTCAGCTGTTTGCCTGAGAGCCTGTGTTGAAGCTGGGAATGTCCTGTTAGGCTGTAATGTGCAGACTGATGCTCTGGGACTCTGACATCTCTTCTTCTGCAACCATTATCTTTCCGAAGCATTATATATTTTTTCAAACTGCACTTTTTTTTTATTAGAATGTAATCAGAAATGTTTGTTTTTTATTTTTATATCGTGACAGAAATGCTGTGTTTGTGTTTCAGGTCAATATTGACTGAGCTGGGTTTAAATTTTTTAACCAAATACTGATCAATGGTGATTTGTTTCTGCCTTATTTGCTTAGTTTGTCGGCTTCTGTGTATCCATCTGCTTTTTAAGAATCTACCATAAGTTTCCTTAATGTGCATCAGAACAGTAGCATTGTTGATGTACTGCAGTGGTTCTCTTGCAGGTAACATTTTAAGAGGAGGGCCCTTTTTTAAAGCTGTTTTTTGTTGAAGTCGTTTAAGGCGGACTTATGATCTTGGCTACATGAAATGAAGAAGGTTTATTATCATTACACTGATGACAAAATTAGCATTGGTTTTAGTAGCAGCAAAATATTCTATTTGATATTTAAACCGTATTTTTCACGGTCTTGGTTCTGTTAAGTTTTCAGTTTCACATTGATCCATGTTTTTCTTTGTTTTCTAGTTTTATTGATTTAATTCCTATTTTGTTGCGTTTTCTGGCTATATTTGAGTTCTTAAGTTTTTCTTGGTTGCACTTCTTCTTCTTCTTCTTCTTCTATTTTTTTAATGGCGGTTGACAAACAACTTCTAGTTGCATTACCGCCACCTCCCAGAATGGAGTATGAATCAGACAAACTATTATATTCTCCCTAAAATACCCGTTCTTCTTAGAAAATTAAAAATAATCCCAAAAACTACATCCCCAGATGACCTTTGAAACAGTTCCCTTATATCTAGTTTATTTTTATTCCTGCCTAACTCTCTACGCAACATCTCTCTTTCCTGAGTATATTTATTACATTCTAAAAATATGTGTTGGACAGTTTCTAATTTCCCACAAATACAACACCCTGCATTATGCTTATTCATTATTTTAAGAGTACTATTTAATCTTGTATGTCCAAACCTTATTCAAGATATAACATCTTCTTCTTTTTTAATTCTATTAAATTTTCTTAATTCTCCAACCTTTTTTTAATACTATAATAAAATCTAGCATTCCCTCCTTTATCCCACTGTTCTTGCCATTTCTTCTTGAAATACATTTTTATAATATTCTTTAACACATTTTTACTAATGTTAATGTTTAAATCAACATCTTTTTTACAGCACTCTTAGCAAAACTGTCAGCTAACTCATTACCTATAACACCAATGTGAGCAGGTATTCAGACTAATTTAACAACAGAACCACCATTTCTAATCCTAAAAATTCAGTGAAAACTATCCAATATAATATCTTGCCTTGATTCTGAATTACATTCTAGAATATTTATTAATGCACTACTTGAATCTGAACAAATTTCTTGGTTGCCCTTCTTCTTCTTTTTTTTTTTTAATGGCGGTTGGCAAACAACTTATAGGTGCATTACCGCCACCTTCCAGAATGGAGTATGGATCAGACAAACTATTATATTCTCCCTAAAATACCCGTTCTTCTTAGAAAATTAAAAATACTCCCAAAAACTACATCCCCAGATGACCTTTGAAACAATTCCCTTATATCTAGTTTATTTTTATTCCTGCCTAACTCTCTACGCAACATCTCTCTTTCCTGAGTATATTTATTACATTCTAAAAATATGTGTTGGACAGTTTCTAATTTCCCACAAATACAACACCCTGCATTATGCTTATTCATTATTTTAAGAGTACTATTTAATCTTGTATGTCCAAACCTTATTCAAGATATAACATCTTCTTCTTTTTTAATTCTATTAAATTTTCTTAATTCTCCAACCTTTTTTTAATACTATAATAAAATCTAGCATTCCCTCCTTTATCCCACTGTTCTTGCCATTTCTTCTTGAAATACATTTTTATAATATTCTTTAACACATTTTTACTAATGTTAATGTTTAAATCAACATCTTTTTTACAGCACTCTTAGCAAAACTGTCAGCTAACTCATTACCTATAACACCAATGTGAGCAGGTATTCAGACTAATTTAACAACAGAACCACCATTTCTAATCCTAAAAATTCAGTGAAAACTATCCAATATAATATCTTGCCTTGATTCTGAATTACATTCTAGAATATTTATTAATGCACTACTTGAATCTGAACAAATTTCTTGGTTGCCCTTCTTCTTCTTTTTTTTTTTTAATGGCGGTTGGCAAACAACTTATAGGTGCATTACCGCCACCTTCCAGAATGGAGTATGGATCAGACAAACTATTATATTCTCCCTAAAATACCCGTTCTTCTTAGAAAATTAAAAATACTCCCAAAAACTACATCCCCAGATGACCTTTGAAACAATTCCCTTATATCTAGTTTATTTTTATTCCTGCCTAACTCTCTACGCAACATCTCTCTTTCCTGAGTATATTTATTACATTCTAAAAATATGTGTTGGACAGTTTCTAATTTCCCACAAATACAACACCCTGCATTATGCTTATTCATTATTTTAAGAGTACTATTTAATCTTGTATGTCCAAACCTTATTCAAGATATAACATCTTCTTCTTTTTTAATTCTATTAAATTTTCTTAATTCTCCAACCTTTTTTTAATACTATAATAAAATCTAGCATTCCCTCCTTTATCCCACTGTTCTTGCCATTTCTTCTTGAAATACATTTTTATAATATTCTTTAACACATTTTTACTAATGTTAATGTTTAAATCAACATCTTTTTTACAGCACTCTTAGCAAAACTGTCAGCTAACTCATTACCTATAACACCAATGTGAGCAGGTATTCAGACTAATTTAACAACAGAACCACCATTTCTAATCCTAAAAATTCAGTGAAAACTATCCAATATAATATCTTGCCTTGATTCTGAATTACATTCTAGAATATTTATTAATGCACTACTTGAATCTGAACAAATTTCTTGGTTGCCCTTCTTCTTCTTTTTTTTTTTTAATGGCGGTTGGCAAACAACTTATAGGTGCATTACCGCCACCTTCCAGAATGGAGTATGGATCAGACAAACTATTATATTCTCCCTAAAATACCCGTTCTTCTTAGAAAATTAAAAATACTCCCAAAAACTACATCCCCAGATGACCTTTGAAACAATTCCCTTATATCTAGTTTACTTTTATTCCTGTCTAACTCTCTACACAACATTTCTCTTTCCTGAGTATATTTATTACATTCTAAAAATATGTGTTGGACAGTTTCTAATTTCCCACAAATACAACACCCTGTATTATGCTTATTCATTATTTTAAGAGTACTATTTAATCTTGTATGTCCAAACCTTATTCAAGATATAACATCTTCTTCTTTTTTAATTCTATTACGTTTTCTTAATTCTCCAACCTTTTTTTAATACTATAATAAAATCTAGCATTCCCTCCTTTATCCCACTGTTCTTGCCATTTCTTCTTGAAATACATTTTTATAATATTCTTTAACTCATTTTTACTAATGTTAATGTTTAAATCAATATCCTTTTTAACAGCACTCTTAGCAAAACTGTCAGCTAACTCATTACCGATAACACCAATATGAGCAGGAATCCAGACAAATTTAACAACAGAACCACCATTTTTAATCCTAAAAATTGAGTGAAGAATATCCAATATAATATCTTGTCTCGACTCTGAATTAAATTCTAGAATACTTATTAATGCACTACTTGAATCTGAACAAATTAAAACCTCCCTGTCTTTTGTTTCCTTAATCCATTCTAAAGCCATTAAGATAGCCATTAATTCACCTGTATACACTTCTTGGTTGCCCTCTTGTGTTAGTCTCCTTTTACACAGCTCCTTTCTAGAAGCCTCTGTTCACACCTGCTCCTAATCAGCTCGTTAGTCCTGTCTCTGTTCAGTCTCCCATATAAACTCTTCCTGTTCAGCTCCTCAGTGCTGGTTCCTCGTCTTTTCCTGCTCCTCATGCATGCATGTTTTCCCTGATGTCTCCAAGGTTATTATTTTTTTTCTGTATTGTTGGATTTTTGGATTCCTACCTCAGTTGCATGTGAGTACTAAATCTAAAAACTACAAAACACACCTCTGCCTCCTCACCTCTGCATTTGGGTCCTCAAAACCTCAACCAAACCCCAACAGTATTAAACCCAGACAGTGCTGTTGTCCATTTATTAGTGATGGTGAGATGAAGCCTCATGAGGCATTGAACCGTTTGGCCAAATTGCTTCAACGATCCCCACTGTTCATGAGGCTTCATTTGAACATGTCACCACCTACTGGTGGACAGCAGAACTACAGTTTGTAATAAAATCTGATTTTTTTTGCAACTGTTTTTCTTTTTTTCCCCTTTTAAGTTCCCTTGAAATTGTTAATGGCTGGTGTGTATAATAACATTTTTATAATTTTTTTTTAAGTGTAAAATTTCTTAGAACAATAATTTAAGGTGCATAGTTTTTCTGCCATTTTATTGAAATAAACTCAAGCAGACAGTGAAAGTGTTTGTGCAAATTTGGCAATGATGAACAAAATGAAAGGTGTTAAGTCATTTTTATTCAAACATGATAGTTTCTCCGTTTTTTGGTTTTAATCAGGTTGGAAGTTGTGTTCAACCAATCTTTTTACTAAACCGACCTAATTTTCCCAATCTATATTTTTACTCGGGCAAAACAATGCAAATTAGTCTCCTCAGCCAAAATAATTAAGTTTAATCGCAACTTTCTAAAGGGAGAGACAGGTCTTGAACCATCAACCTCTAGCGTGAGAGTCTGTCCGTTACAGAGGACACCACTCATGTAGATGGACTGTTGTGGGAGAAAATACTTCTCAACACTGACGTATTAACACTGGCTTTGTCTGGTGGTTTGCTCAGATTTTGATCACTACATTGTTTATTCAAACCAAATTAGCTTTAAGCAACTAGATTGGTTGGAAAAATGACCAATTTATTCTTAGAATCTATCCAAACTTTATCCAGCTGAGAGCAGCTCTCCTCCAATCTCCCACATCTTGACTGAACACTGAGGCTGTTTAGATGCCTGTCAAAATTCTTGCGCTTCCCGAACCACTTGCCGAACCGGTCACGTGGTATCACGGTAGCGAGGCCTCGGGAGGTCATCCATTTTGGCACCTCCTCTAAATGAATCGTGCCTCGACACGCGCTTTGAGGAAACTCCCCCTCCATTACTCGACACACGCCTCGAAGCCTCGGCTCATCTCATAACATCACTACCATTTATGTTGTCCATTTATTTAGGTGGTAGATATTAGGGTGTGTGTTTCTATTTCAACTTGCAGCTGATTGAGATCCTTGTGAGGACTAAGAATTAAGGCAAGGACCTTTATTTTGTCATCATTTCTAGGGGCTCAGTTTAAGACTATGGAGTCAAATAGGTTTAGGTAAGGGTGAGGAATGCAGTAGTGATGGTTAGGTTTAGGGTTAAATTTGCATGTTATGAGAATTTCACTTTAGAAACATTTTGTAACAGTCATGTGTCCTGAAGCCTCTGCATGAAGTTCACAGATTAAAAAAAAACAACAAAACATTCACCTCTATCACTGCCTTTCTCCACATCTTACCTAATGTGTGCTCCAAAT